GGTTTTCCCTTAACACTGTTCTGAACTCGAGAGCTTTCAATGAGCATAAGAAAGCCCTAGTATCACCGGTACAGGTTATCTTGTTTCCAATGCGTTGACGAAAGTTACCCACACTTGGAACCGATCGATCCGCAGGGGTATTTCCATGAGTGGATAACAGGATTTGTAACAAGCAAATAGTTCAAATGATTACACGGGAGGCTGTATTAACCCTAGAGCAGTGAGAAAATGCACACATCTAAAACAGGTAATCTGTCAACCCTGACCCCAACGTTCATGTGCATCTGAATTGGTAAAACAATTCAGTTAGCGTCACAAAAGCACACATTTTTCACTATAAAAGTGTGAACAGACCGCCCAAAATAATATGTGGGCCTGCAACAACTCATGAGCTAAGTACTATCAGACTCATTGAAAAAAACGTATTTCCTGTTTACGATCATATGGAATCCCAACGGAGCTTACAAAACTCATCGGGCCGCGCACAGCTCAGCGTTACTCAACAAGCATGCACGCAACGTTAAAGGCAAGTCGGGTCCAGACTGGATGACTGTGGAACAAATTGGATTGGTCGTCCGATCAACCAATTGGAGAGTCAAGAACACAATGTGGTTGGTGCGCCTTTATAAGGTTCTCCTATCTTAGATTTGCCCGTTTATATACGTGTGTCGCACCATGATCATAGATTACACTCTGGCTGCCGCTCGTCAATTATGTTCTCTCTTCCACACTGTTGTTGGAGGCTTGACAAGGGGTGCTTGCTTCGACCGTACGTTTATGCAGAACATAACACACGACATCCCAGTGACAAGGCTTTTCTCATGAGTTCAGCATGACGATGATCATGTACGCAGAATATTGTCTGAACCATCCACGTTGTCTTACCCATAAACTGGCATCATCACCAGAACCGCCATATATCATAGCGGATGCATGTACATGCTTAAAACCAGTCTCTTCACGAGATCGTTTCCATCTGAAAGCCCAAAAACATTTTTCATCGACCGACCTGAACATCAATGTACATGAACTCATTGAGGGAACTGAAACTCGATGAACGCATTTCGTTTTACCGGTGATGTGTGTAACTATGTGCGTCCCGGATAACAATAACTGACGTCCATCATCACCTTCTGATGGGTCAAAGCTATGGCGTCCGAAACACAATCACCTCATTCAACGTGCTATATATTCAATCATCATGGAGAAATAGTGAACACATTTAATCCAGAAACGCTGTCCTAATAAATGATCCATCTATAGAATTAAATTTTATTGCATCGAAGCAATACTATCGTCACTTATGACTTCCTTATCACAAATGAAATAAATATGTTAAGTGCATACGCCCACGTGAAGTTGGAACGGAGTAGGGGCCAGTCTGTCTACTGTTCTATAGTTTTAATTGATTCCACTGCAATCATGGAACTGTCCTTCATAAACACCTTCGGCTGGTTCCTAGAGGCTAACCACTGTTAAAGAGAAAATGACACGAACGAAATTCGAATAAACGTAAACTGAGTTCCATTCATGAAAATCAGGTCAAGTGATCGCAACGTTCGACAACGTGGAGAAGAGGCGTGGATAAATGCGCAGAGCCTGGATGGGGTCCGAAAGACTCTGTAACTGGTTGGTTGGAAACATTGAAGGATGTGACAGCGAACCGACAACAGTGGCATTCTTTTTATCACTGCTTATCAGGCCAGAATGCTTGGAACCGTATGTATGCACACCTCGACTATGCAGTGTTGATCACAGAGGTTCACCTTCTTCTCCCTCCCTCAAAATAGGTCCAACCCCTGTTCACCTTACATATTCCCACTAACTCTGTACGCATCGCAAATTTGGCAGAGATCACTGAAGTTCGGTTTACTATCTTTCACTCTACGATGATGATGATAATGACCCGTAAAAACACGTAGCTGTTTGCCAGCAATTGATGAAATCAATAGAGGCTAACAGACGGACGCAAGCCCAAAATGGAAACCTGAATTGTCAATATGATTGGTTCAGACAATTAGTTCTTTTACTCAGTAAAGCTGAGTTCCTTAAACTTAAATCCTTCCAGTCGCGCTTTTACATTTTAGGATGCGCCTAGGACAAATCCCATTTCAATGGGATATCATACATTCAATTATTACTCCACGTGTTCTCAACCAGCTACTCTCGTGCATTGACATCAAGGTGAAAGAACAACACGAACAGGTGATGGGCTATCAGGTCCAGTTGCCCTATACTCCACAGTTGATTCGGAAAGCTCCGAAAAAATGAACTGAATTTATATTTTCTTGTTGTCATGTTTGTTTTTCCTCATTGTGTTCAAATCGGAACTTTTAGTTGACCATCTTGGAAATTACTACTGATCGGAATGCACGAGATCTTTTTGGAAAAATGCAGGACATGACTCAAACTTGAACGCAGACATGACACAAGGCACGCGCTGCAATAAGAAATCCTTTTGCATACAGTCATCTGTCGTGAACGTACGACATCCATTCAGCAAATGATTACAGAAAATAGGACACCGCATCAAACGTTCAATACGGTCTTCCAACATTCCTTGGCTTTAACTAGTTGCTTGTAGCTCCATTGTTTACTGCGACCACCAAAAAATCTAACCATATCCAAATTCCATGAAACCGGGTTCGTCATCTTGTCCGGTACTTCATTTATGGTTCTGTGCATGAAAAATCCCTTAATGAAAACATCATACACCACGGCAACACCATGTCTAACGGTAAGACCAGCGCTAGATCCAGTGACGCGTAGAGCATTTCATATAAACAACTGAGCGAGGGAACCTTCACACGAAATAAAACAAATTGACAATATGGTCGTTTAAATTTCGATAAGTTAGGGCAACAGGATGATCCGAATAGTCGCATTTCTCCTCGCCCACCACCACCACCATAACCTCCAACAATGAATTCGTTGATCAGTGCTTGACAGGACACTACTTGATCGATGAAACAGGTACCACCAGGGTAGGTGAACAAGCTATAGAAAATCAACCATCACTGAAAACGGGCTTGTATAGATAGATACCACATCCGAATTAAATCGAGAATTGAGAAGGTTTCACACGGTTTTCACACACACGCACATACACATCGGCTGTCCAGTGTCAGACTTTGGCTAGTCAAAGTCTCCGTCTGTAAATTCCCCAAGAAAAGTGCATCGGCCTTGATCAACCTAGCAGTTTCACGTCCCCGAACAAATTTTAGCACTTTTCAAATGCGATGGAAATGTTTGCGATAACCAACAAAGAGCACTAGACAGCTGTTTCGTCCTGTTTGGGACTCGTCAGCAGTGCGTACTTTTTTTGTCCCTGTCGACTCGCGAACCGCGACTCTTCGGGCTGGAACTTCAAACCCTTACCCTTGAGCTACACGGTCGACGGTTATCAACTTATGCGAATGGCTCAATCAATTTAGATGGTGAATGTTTGGATTAACCCATTTAATTTATCACAGGCACTAGGCGCTGATGATATATATATATATTTACCACC